GCCGCCTCCATACAGCCTGACAACGGTGCTGTCTCTTGCTCAGTTCTTTAGCCCTGCAGACCCAGGACAGGGCCTGAAAGGGGAAGGCTCCTGTGTAGAGAATGTGCTAGAGGAGATGACCCAGGGTGCTGGGCCACTGGGATAATTGTGCATTTGCCTCTTCTGTACTGTTTGGGTGGGCAGCTTCTCCTTTTTGTAAGGGACACTTATTCCAACCACATCTACCAATCCCTCAGTGTGACCTTGTGGGCACCCAGGAGCATGGTCCAGGGCAGACCAGAGCCTACAGGCAGGGACACGACATCCTACTCTAATTAGTCCTGCAGGTACCAGGGGAGACAATTTACATTCCTTCCCTGGCTTCTTGGAGACTTTGCTCTCTCACCTCCTTCCACTGACTATTCTTCCTACCTTCCCTTCCCCATCATTCTTACCATCTTGGCAGTATTTCCTCTCCCTTACATATGTATCCAGATCCCACCATCCATTTAGTTTCTCTGTTTTGTAAAATACTGCTGGGGATGAGGAGCCCAGGAACCTCCATTAAGAGCCCATTCCTCCTTTCACAACCAAAAACTGCTTCCTGGGGAATAACAAACAGAGGAGAAAGCCTAGAAGAAAATACGGTATTAGAGCTTTCTCCAGGGGGTGGGATTGTAGATGATTGATATGTTTCTTTTTTATACTTTTCTTTAGTTTTTAAATTTTTCTGTTATGACCATATTACCTTTATAATGAGGAAATATAGTAAATGTTTATAGGAGAGGTTAAATTACAGCTATTGGAATCAGACAAGGCTAGTGTCCCACCTCCACACTTAGAAGCAGTGCCTCCTTGGGCAAATCATTTAATCTTTCTAAACCTCAGTTTGCACATCTGTAAAATGGGGAAAATATCTACTTCACAAGGTTGTTGTGATGATTAAACATAAAATGTTAGGTACATGGTAAGCATTCACAAATTGACAACTACTGTTTGTATTAATAAGAGTTAAATGTCATAACAACAACCACAACCACTTGTCTCTAAGTTCTTTCTGCCTCTTGGTACCCAGACATAGGGAAGTCTCACCTCTTCTAAACTGGTCTATTCTTTCCTTCCAAACCTCACTTTTTTCCCTTTTCTAAGCAGGCAAAGTCATAACCTCTTGTATCATTAGCTGGGTTGACCAAACGGCTGAGAATACAAGACTTTGGAGTAGGGCTTTCTCCATATGTAGGGGCTAAAAAAAATAAATTAAAATATCAAATAAATGAACAAATAAATTGTATACATGCATGATCACTGCACTCCTCGGCTGTGCCAGCAGACTGGTCCTGTACCAGGCGCTTTCATACCAGAGTACTTTAACAGCAACCCGCTTTGGCATTAGGTCTCCGTGTGGGCGCTGACAAATTGCAGACACTTCCTTCCCTCGCCAGCAGGGCTCTCTCGCGGTCACTTCACCCAGCCCCCTCCAGGGCTAGAAGGCATTGGAGGTCTGGCCAATCCCTCCCCAGAACCACACGGACTAGGCTCTTTGCAACCCATCATCGCTACTAAGCTAACCAATAATAATTGACTATCTCACCCGGCGCTGTACAGGGCGCGAGGGTCACGAGAGTCAACCTGTCAGCCCACCGACGGCGGCGGCAGTGGGATGGGGAATGGGGTGGGGGACGAAAGCCAGGGGAAAGGAGTCGCGGTAGTTTCGCTAGGCGGCGGTTTCCAGCGTCTCTCTGGCGGAAGTTCCTCTTCTCGTCTAACCTGCAGCTTCCCTGTTGCAGAGCCTTGCCGAGCTCCCAGACCAACCTAGACTGCCTGGCGGATGCGCGCCCAGACGCCCCCACGAGTTGGGGGACATTCTTCCTAGGGCTTTCAAGTCAGGCGGGCGCCTTCCACCACCCACCACCCACGTCTCAGCAGGCACCCTTATTGCTGCTAGGTCTTCTGCACCCACTTCCATCCCTCACTCGCCCTCCAGGGGCTTCTCGGGTGCCCCTTCCCCCAGGCCAAGCTGAGTGCCCGTCCCCCAGACCCGCTAACTTACGGTGCAGCAGTCCATGATGGTGTTGGGGGCCCTTGGCTGGGACGGAGGCTGGCGCAGGGTGTCGGTGCGGTGCCGGGTGGGGACTCGGGCAGTGGGGAGGCAGCCGACCGGGGCCAAACCAGCCGCTCAGCTCTCGGGTCCTCTCTCCCGCGCTCGGCCCTGCGGGAGAAAGTAACCTGAGCCCTGCGGTCGAGAAGCCAATCAGGAGAAGCCTTCGGCAGGGTGGGCGGGGAGATTGGATGGGGGACCACGCCCCCTCTCGGCTCCCTCTGGCTCGCTCCCCCTCCTGCCCCAACCCCTCTGCCTACACACTTCCATCCATTCCTCCTACACACCGCATCCTCCCAAACTCACCGCCCCTGCTGCCGAGGCGGCAGACTGCCAGGCAGATGTATGCTGGCGCAGGCAGAAGGAGGACCCCGACATCCCGGGCACAAATACACTCGCATCTGTGCACAGCACCCCTCCCACCCACATAGAGAAAAGCATGCACCCCTCACCCACCTCCCCACACTTCCACAACCTAGCTAGAGTCCCAAATATGGCTCCCTCTACCTTCCCTCCCCCTCAGTCCTCAAAGAAATGCCCCCTAAGACGTGCGGTTTAAAGGTATCGTCATCACTCTGCTGTGGAATGGAGAAGGTGGGCACACATAAACACAAAAGCTCACGCCTGAGCCCCACATGCCCGTATATGATACTCCCCAGGCTCACTAAAACGTGCACTTCGTCAACATGCAGACACTACAGACACAGCCTGCAGAAATAACTACACAGACCTTGTACACACACTGAGCAGATACATGCAGACTCCCTGTTATGTGCACACACACGCACACATATCCACAGGCAATCACACTACCTGAAATGTCTGCATTACATATCTATCTATCCATCCATCTATCTAAATGCCCTGCACTAAACAGACAAAATCATACATGCACAACACCCATTGTATGTATTTATATATGGATATGGACACTCTTCCTTCCCACTCGCTGAACCACACTCTTCCTAACCTCTTAATCTACTGTTTCTGAATACGACAAAAACTGACCACTCTCACCCTTGCCCCTGGGAGGAAAAAAATACTCTCAACCCAGTATACGGAAATATCAGAAGTCATCAGTTCTCTAGGTCCATGATGGAGGAAGGATGTGGGCTTTGTCAGAGGCCTGGGAAGGGGAGATAGGGGAGGAGCCTCGTGGAGGAGCAGCCTGCCACTTTCATGGTCGCCAGCCTCCCCAAACCAGTCAGGGTACGAGAGCTGGCAGTGTGGCATGTTAGTGAAGGGAGTGGGCCACCTCTGAGAAAACTAGAAACTCTTTCTCAGCTGAGGTCCCAGAGGAGAGAAGGAAGAAAGGAAGGCTGCCCTTCAGGCCTGTTGACTGAAGCAGAGGGAGGAGGGGGAAAATGCCCTGTGGCTCTGGACGGGACAGGGGATCCTGCGACAGCACTGCTGTGAACCAACAGCCCCTGGCCAGTCCTAGCATGGCTGTCACACGCTTCCTTCTTACCTGAATATTTGGGCCACGGGCTTTGCTTGCCAAAGGGAAGATGAACGGAAGGGAAATTCCAGTGGCCACTCTGGCTGGGGACCGGGTTAGCCAGCTTGGGGCCCCAAGCTGAGCTGGATGCTGCCTGGGATTCCAGAGTTTGGGGTGTAGGGGTGTCTCTCCCAGCATGTTTGGGACCCACCCACCCTTGTAACTGAAAATCTGTTCCCCAATCTGTCTCTGGCACATCCTCCATCCCCCCACCTCCACCAAACGACAGGATGTCCTGGGAACTCGAGCCCTTGCCTAAATGATGCGCACATCTAGGGCCTTGGTTTGTGCCAGTTCCCGTTGGATTTCAACTCCAGATTCCAGAGGAGAGAGGGAAGGAGGACACTGGAGGCAGACTGGATATCAGGCTTGGACTCCTTGCTTTTCTCTTCCCAAATTAGAGCTGAGGAATTCAGGATTTAGTGAGTTTGCAGTAAAGTCTCCCAAGTTGCTAGGCAACATCCCTCTGCAGGCTGCGCTGCCTCTAGGCCCTTCTTCCTGCTGGTCAGAGCTGAAGAGGGGCTATCTTTAAACACCCCCCATCAAACCGCCTCACAGGCAGCACAGCCCTTTCGTTTTCCTAAAGGACACCTTTGTGTGGGGTGAGGGTGTCTCTGAACACCAGTGGGCCCAAGGGAGAACAGGTACACGCTCTTATCAGTTCCATAGGCAAAACAACCATTTCAGCGACAGCCCACTTGAGGCGCCTACGCAGAACTGGCCGCAGTGCTTGTCCTGGGGGATGGGCAGGCCACGAGGTGAGGAAAAGGTAAACAGACAGGAAGGCAGAGACTGGGATAGGAAGACAGACACCCACAGACTCAAATATCCAGAGGCAGGAGCAGCAACACGGATGGCCCCATTTAATGACACCTACATGCAGACACACACAAGGTCCACACATCCACAGAGATACATACTGTGGGCACCTTGCCACACACTCACATCCAAAGACACGCACAGAAGTGGACCCCTTCACCAGCACACATCAAGGGCATGCACGTCCCCTGGTAAGGGGTTCCTCATCTGGACTAAGTGGCCAGAGTTTGTCAGCAAGTCCGGCTGGGTGGAACTCTGAGCCTCTGATTCTCGAACCAGTGAGAAAGAAAGGGGACAGGAGCAGTGTGGAATGCTGGGTCTGGCTGGTTTAAGGAGCAGGCTGCCTCACCCTGCTTCTGGCCTGGGGCCAAGGTCAGCCTTTGGAGTGTTACCTAGTAACCTGCTGGGCTTGGGCCCTACAGTTATCCTCCTTGACTCTTGAAATCTCGAGATTTCAAACGCTCTCCTCTGTCTTTGCCCCCGCCCCCCCCATCCCACCCCAGCTATTGAAGGAGGACTGCAGGCCTGGACAGGAGAGGAACTCCAGAAGGGCCCGGTTAGAGAGGGAGCAGGGACCTGTGGGTGCAGGGTCTGGACCCAGCACGGAGCGTGGAGGAGGAGGGCATAGAATAGAAGGCAAGGCTGGCAGAGGAGGATATGGTTCAAAAAAAGAGAGGATAAAAGATGGATTAGTGGGAAGCTTCTGGGGTCCGATACAGATCCTTCCTGGGACAGATGGAGGGGGATTTGGAGAGAGTTGGTCCTTGTGAGCAGAGAGAAAAGCCAAGCCACATGGCAAGCTATTTGCCAATACTTGCGGCTTCCCCTCCTGGGAGTGGGCACTTTCTGAACATAACATCCTGGCTCAAGCCCACAGAGGGACTCCATGATAAGACGAGGGTGGGAAGTAGGAGGCTGTGCCTTTGGTGGAGCTGATCTGGGGGCTTCTTAGGTCAGGATTTTACTCATTTGAGCGGAGGGGGTGAGGGTGGCAGGAAATTCAGTTTTCTCGGCAAATATTCCAGCTTTTGCTGTAGTAGTATTTTTAGCAACTTGGCTGGCAGAGGGGGAGCCCGGGTACAGCTTTAAAGGGGCCTCTGCTAGACGGGAGGCCTCCTCCCACCCTCACCCCACAGGTCATAAAGGAGAGGGGGAGAAAGCACGCGGCTCAAGGGGTGTATTCCAATTTAAAAGTCAGGCTTGCTGGGCGTTGGACGACCATTAAGTCATCTTCACCAGATAGGTGATAGTCGTTATCTGTCATCATCGACATCGTTCTCATTAGCAGTTTTATCAAGAAGAGTAAATATTCCTCGGACTTCTGCTGTGTGCAAGGTACTGTCGGGGACACGATACAGACGGCTTAACACGACACACTTGGTGAGACGAGGGAAGGAACCAAGACCTCTGAGTGAGTGCTGGGTGCTGTGGGTCGTACTAGCCACGTTATATATGTGATTTCATTTAATTCTTACAACAACTCTGCAAGTTGGGCATTATCTTTCCTGTTTTACAGGTGAGGAAGTGAAGGATTTTAGGGGCTGAAGAATTTACCCAAGGTTACACCGTCATGAAATGGAAGAGTCCGGATTAAAACTCAGAGCAGCATAATAATATTATCCTGAATCTGAAGAGTGATTTACAAGGTGCTTCCACACCCACGATTTAATTTGTTGCTTTTGAGAAGTGTGTGAGGAGGTGTTAGTATTTTTAACCACTTTTTCTGAGGAGGAAGTGAGGCCTAGAGAGGTTAATTAAGTGACTTGTGCCTTGTTGGAATTAGACCTCTAGTGAACTGCGGTACTAGGGCTAAAACGCAGGGAGTTCTAGCTTTGAATTCTGTGTGTGTTCACCTCTTTGGCTCCCAGCACTTGCACTGGACTCGAAGGAATGGGTTACAGTGGTTAGCAAATCATTCACAGTCTCTTGTCTCTTTTTTTTTTTTTTTTTTTTTT